TTCTTTGGTGCGTGAAAATTTGCTTTGTTACGTGCCTAGTCTGAGCACTCTTTTTGGTTATCAAGATTTTCTTCTTCTAATCGATAAATTTCTTCACTTTAGTCCTCTCTATTTTATATTGAAAGAGGATTATGGCAATGTGATTGTTGAACTATATGATGGAGTGACAATAGCTATTTACTTATTTCTTTACAAAGCTTGCCGATATATGTCTCTGTTTGGAAAAATGAGAACTCATTGTTGTTAGTAATGTGTTGTTAGAACTCTTTGACCTACCAAAGCTTCCTAATACATTCAGGTTTGGATCCAGCTTGTTTAGTTGTGTAAACCTCCACTGGCTACATTCCATCTCCCTTTGCAGTACTTTCTTTCTAGTTTAAAAGAATTAACAAATGCTGGCATCTTTCCATATAGGATGAGAAGGAGATACAGAAGACGGCATTTAAACAGTATCGTGTATTGCGGGAGGCAACCAAGTTCAGATATGGTTACAAGCTTGTGGTAATGTTCCTCTAACCTCCTTCATTTCTTTCACTGAATTCCTTTTCAATATTTTTGCCATTAAAGCTTTTTTTCCTCCCAAAAAAAAGGAAGGAAATTTTTCATGTTGCTTCATTTTCTTAATAATATTGGTGCTGGATGGACAGGAAAATGGCAATGTGAGAGCTGCACTGTCAACAACCAATGTTATTGAGGTTAGTATTCAGTCTTTTCCATTTTGTTCCATTATCGTTTTTCAGACGTGATATTAGATTTTATGTAAATAGGACTTTTGTATCTGACTCCGACTAGTTTGCTTTTAATTGGACATGCCAGATTTTGGGAATTGCTTTAATTTTTGCTGTCTATCTAAACTGGATTTATTTTAGAAATTTAGAAATTAATTGCAAGTTGCAATTATGATTTGCAAATTTTCAACTTGTAATTTTCCAATCAGATTCGACAGAAAAATGTTGTTTCTATTTCTGCTGCTAAAACTTTTGTGTATTGAATGCAATTCAGCTTCCACCACCAGAGCAGCTCAAAACAGTGGTGGACAAAGTGAAAGATTTCTTTGGGGATGCCAAAGAGTCTTTTGGGAAGCTAACAGCATTAAACTCAGACACAGCTGAGGAGTCAGAAGAAACATCTACAGAAAAGGCCAAGTAAGTTCAACAGCTATTAACCCATCTTGAAAAGCAAAATTTTAGCTAGAAATTAGTTTCGCAGGTGGTACTTTAACCATGGTTATGAGAAACAATCAACTTATTGGTTCTTGTCCTAAGTTTGATTTTATTGAAATAACTCTTTCATTTCTTATTCCTTTGACAAATCTACCAGTGTTAAACGCTAAAGGGTCGATAAACCATGTAATTGTGGGTGTCACATTTGTCCTTGTCTGGATGCTCAATCTGCTTCATGGATTTGCAGGGCAAGTTGATGAGAACAACAATTACACTGCACAATTTTGTTCATAGATCTTTGTTTATTGAGCTGAAATTCTCAGCAACCTTTAATGTCAATCAAACCATATTTTGTTATATATGAAGTACTTGAGTTTGAATTACAATGAATTGGTCCAAAGCATTTAGCAGCTACAGGGTAGAATCTCTGTTGTTCAAGAATTACAAGATGGACCCAAGGCTGGATTTTTGTGTACCCTTTTGATTACCAGGAGCTCCATCGTAATCCTCATCTGGATTAGATCCACATTCTTCGTTGTTTGTTGGAACCAGTACAAGAGCTGTTCTTCTTGTAGCTAAACCGTAAATCTCACTTGGATCTAATTCATTGTTATGAACTCCCTGAGGCAACGTCCAGACCAAAAGTACATCCCGGACAGCCTCGCCTCCATCCCGGGAAATCTGAAGTCATCCTTAACTTCCACATTGTCGTTGATAAACATCCCATGAATCCAGATTTCTCCCAATAGCATAGGTGTTGATTAGGACCCGGATCTTGGCCGGGGTTTCTGCATCCATCAAGCATGCATTCTTCCGTAGATTCCTCTGGAACCAGCAAGGAGACCGATGGATGCAGTCTCATTGCCTCTTTAATCGCAGCTTTGATGTAATGAAAGTGTTGAAGATTTCTTTCCTCAACTTTTCCGTCACCGGAAGCAACGTTCCGAACCTCTTCTTGTGCTTTCTTCATTGCTTCCGGATGTCTGGCTAACCTAGTCATCGTCCACTCTAGTGTCGCCGACGTTGTATCAGTTCCGGTCACAAACATGTCCTGTTGAGTAAAAAAGACTTTTTTTTTTCAGAAAAATTTGTTTCTTTAAGCTGGCATCGCCACTCTTTGTCACCTGAACTCGGACCGAGTCATGCAACCTGACTCACTAAATTGCAGAAGGAAGATGAAGAGGTACTACCAGTAGAAGAGCCTTAAGATTGTTATCGGCGAACGGCACTTCCAGGTCTTCTCGTTCCTTCACCCTCAGCAAAACATCGACAAAATCTTCCTTTTCCGGTGATCTGCCCTCCCATTTCTGCAAATGCTCGTCTATGATCTCATTGCAAATAGCTCTGAGGTCTTCCAAATTCTACATCAACCTTCTGTTATATCCACTCAATGAGTTTAACCCACTTCCACTCGGGGAAAAAATCCCCCAAACAGAACCCAGCAAACAACTCTTGCATCTCCGTCAACACGACCACCAGATGATGCTTCTTCCGCCCTGAGCGGGACCCCTCTGTAAACCGCCTCCCGAATGCAACGCGACACAGAATGTCACTGGCTAAAGAGAAGAGGAGGTCGCTTATATTCATCTCTGATCCGGAACGAGCTAACACGGCGGCGAATAGCCGGTTTACCTCCTCGTCTCGGACGAGTTGGAAACAGTTGATCCGCTTCGAGCTCAGTGACGCAGATTGTTCCGGTGCCAAGGGGAGAAGGGCGGAACTATTTGGAGGATGAAGTGGGCATGGCTCTATCCAATCCAACCTCAAAAAAATAATAAATGAAATAAGAAATGAAAAGATTTAGGAGCAAGGTTGCAAGGAAAAAAAACCAAAGGCCATACCATAAATTCATTAATAGAGTAAGAAAGAGATTTTAACAATATGTTTAGGTTGAGGAATATAGAAAAGAGGGAAAATTTTTCTTGTACTTTATTTTTCAAAATTTATTTACTTATTCAAACCAAAGGAAAGAAGGAGAGGGAAATGGATTTTTTAATTTTTTTTAACCTAAACATACGATTAGAGTTTAAATTAAAAGAGGAATCGTCCTGCCCTTGAATTATCCTTGGTTCCATCATTGGAGAGGAAGGAAAGCAAAGTGCACTAAACAGAGGAATAGAAGCCGGTTGTGGTTGTAGTCCCAAATCTCAACTTGCAGGGTAATGTGAAGATAAGAGAACCAAGTCTTCTTATTCGATAATCATAATCCTTCATTAGACAAAAGTAATATTATAGTTTGTTATGTGTGGATTGCTTATTTTTTAATTATTGATGAAAGGAAACCACTTTAATATTAAAGGATTTATCCTCATCAATGATTTTAAGATTTAAGATATACAAGATGGATTGCATATCACTTTTACTGATAAGAATAAGAGAATATAAGTTGATTGTAGGCTTGAGAAAACAAGCTAGAGTAGAGGACAATAAACAATTTTGTTGGAGAGGGATCTTACTGAACAAAATCATGGAGTATGAGGACTATAGGCGGCTTTAACACCATAAAACGACGTCGTTGCTAGTATCCGAGCTGTGATTTTATCCGTACACTCCCTTCCTCTGACATCATGAATTTTCATGATCTAGCCGGTCCCATGCTCTGAATTAAACCTTATCTATAAATTCCAGACCAGGATTTGGTTTCTGGAGAAATCTAGAAGAACCCCACTTACCTGGTTCACACCTGATTCATCTAGAAATGTCTATTCTTCCCTTTAAATTACCACCACATCATCTCCCCTTCTCCATCAAACCTTTCCTCTGTTTCTGTCTTTCATTTCTACTCAGCCAGAGAAACATACAGACAGATATACACACGCACAGATTGACAACAAGAAGCCACAAAAATGTCGCAGGCTCTTTCAAATTTGAGCATCTCTGTTCCTCTCCCATCTAGCAATCCTATAAGCCATCAGAAACTTCTTGTGTTCAGACTTCCCCAGCAGTTGAAACAGAGCAATCAGTGCAGCTTTAACAATGGCGCCATCAAGGCCATGGCTGGAGAGACAAGGGACAATCTTGATCACTTGCAGAGAACTCCCAGCAAGCCCCAACCCCAACCCAGGAAAAAGGTTGGCTCTGTCGCACCAACAGGTATGAGAATTTCTCTTTTCAATTCAAATTATGTGAAAAGTTCAGTTCTTTTGCATTATTAATCTGCGACCGTGTAAGCAACACGGAGGTTGGAAGAGCAAATTGCCAAATTGAAACAGGTCGTGTAAGGGGAATTTAATCAAACAGATGGTGAGTAGAAATGAAACTGATGAATTTGCCCATTTGGTATTTATATGCAGGGTTGTGGGACAGGTTTCCAACGGCGAGAACGGTGCAGCAAATGATGGAGACAATGGACAGGATAGTGGAGGACCCATTTGCTTACTCAGGCACGTGGCCGTCACCGCTACCCAGTGATACCAGCGGATACAGCAGGGGTAGAACGCCATGGGAGATCAAGGAAGGAGAGGGGGAGTACAGGATGAGGTTTGACATGCCCGGGATGACTAAGGAGGATGTAAAGGTGTGGGTTGAAGAGAAGATGCTGGTGGTGAAGGCGGAGAAGGTGCCAAAGAAGAAGATGAACGGCAGAGAGAATGGTGAAGAAGAGGAGGAGGATTGGTCAGCCAAAAGCTACGGAAGGTATAACAGTAGAATTGCATTGCCTGAGAATGTTGAGTTTGAGAAGATTAAGGCTGAGGTTAAAGATGGAGTCTTGTATATCACTATTCCTAAGGCTAGCAAAAATGCTAAAATTTTGGACATCAATGTTCAATGATGGTTTTGAAACTGTAATCTGAAATGTTTGGGCTCACGCACAAACATCCGGATTTTCTTGCAAGATTGTTCAGGTCTGTTCATGCTGTGCACTTATTGTGGTGGGTTCATGACTATGAGGCTACTCCAGGGGTAAAATGAAGTGTCAAACCTTTTTATAAATCTTTGTGAGGTATTTTGTTGTATGAATTGTAATAAACTATAAAATAAAAATAATTAAATTGTGTATGGTAAAATAAATATTTTATTGTGTATTTTTTTTATAATATTATAATTTTTTTTATCGTGATTTCATTTAAAATTTTATAATTATTATATTTTATATATGTGTTTTAAAATTTAGAGTAGATAAATTTCTTGATATTTTATGTTGTTTTTAAAATTTTTTAATTATTTTATATAAATTTATGATTCAACATTCTTGAAAAAAATGTAGGATATTAAAATTCTAGCTAAACAGAGCAAAATATAACCGAAATATTCCAAAACTAAAACAATTCGATCATTGTCAAGCAACAAAAATTACTTTATTCGATCATTTCAAAAACAAGAATAATTACTTCATATTAAAAAGGGAAGGAAGAAAAATGAAACATCTAGATTAGAAGGGTTGATTATATCTTCCAACAATAAATACACTAGCCGTTGCAAAACCTTATTCTATTTCTTTGACCTTACTTCTTTCATTTACTCCTTTTTTGTAAAATAAAATACTACTATAATATAAGAGGGGGCGAATATGGTAGACATTTCAACACTTAAATGTAATACACATAATTATAAGTTAGGTTGTCATTCAAATTATACATGCTCTTAACTACATATTTAAGATTTAATTTTTAATTT